ATATCTGCCAGACCACTCTTTCTGTCAAACTCTTACCCAAATTAACTTCAGGATTAAACCTCAGTGGCAGTCTTCCAGCCAATTACCACTTTGAACTACTGGTATATTTACAGATGCCATGCATTCTGAAATAGCGCCGAGATCCTCCAGTGCCGCACCAATCCAATAATTTCACCAAGACATAAATACACCTATTCCTTAATGGGCTTTGCCAGAATACTAAATTGCTGTATTCTTGGGGGGGGGGGCAGGGAGACGATCACTTCCCATTATACTGACATCTGCAGGTGAAAGTGATGTCAGTGTTCTGATGGGAGTGCAGATTGCCCCTCAAGGCAAGCAAAACACTGATACTGCAGTAGTCTTAGACCAGGGGATCAGCAAACTTTTTCAGCAGGGGGCCGGTCCACTGTCCCTCAGACCTTGTGGGGGGCCGGACTATATTTTGAAGAGAGAGAAAAAAAGAACAAATTCCTATGCCCCACAAATATGCATTTTAATGCATTTTAAATAAAAGCACACATTCTACTCATGTGAGATGCATTTTAAATAAAAGCACACATTCTACTCATGCAAAAACATGCTGATTCCCTGACTGTCCACGGGCCAGATTTAGAAGGCGATTGGGCCGGATCCGGCCCCTGGGCCTTAGTTTGCCTACCCATGCCTTAGACTGAGCCCTATATAGGCACAATAGCTGTGTCCCAGTTGCAAGTCCCACCTTCACTGAAAGATGCCTCTTTGGTTTAAGAGGCCCAGCCTTGCTCCAGGAGTCTTTTACTCTGACAGAGCAGGGGGAACTTTGGCTGTACTGGGGCTTCCATGATAGAGTCAAAGGGTGGCAATTTGACAGCTGGTAGAGCTTGAGACTCTTAACCTCAGGGTCATGGGTTTGAGCCCCACATTGGGCAAAAGATTCCTGCATTGCAGCAGGTTGGACTAGATGATCCTTGTGATCCCTTCTTACTCTACAGTTCTATGACTCTATGACATCCTTGGACTAGAAGGGCACTGGCACTGTGAAGTCATCTTCTGGAAGTACTTCCGGGGTTGGTCCTGGGTGCAATTTCCCTTCTGATTCCAAATCCTCGTCCTCTAAAGAAGGAGAATCCGACCCCAGGGTCATGACCGTCAAAATGGGTGGCATTCAATGCTTGTCCTACACAGAATAGACACACTGAAGTACCTAACTAACTTAGGTTCATTGACTTTAACAGGTGTGCTCTGAATAGGGCTTAGCTGCATACAACCCAGAGTCAGTTCCACAAAGTAATAGAGTGCAGCAATCTTGAAACTGGCAGAGTAAGTGAATAAATTTAGTAGCACGTAGGAGGATTTTAATGCATAAAATGTAGTGCTGGAATTTATCCAGGGGGGATAAATATTTTGGAGTCTCACCAGAATGACAGTCTCATGCTTCCTGTAGTTATTACTGCACCTTGCTCTCTTGAGGAACTTGTGAGGTTAGCAAAAGGGGTTATGTTGCAACTAAGTCCTAAGCCAAACGCTTCCTGCAAAGGAATTCAATGGAATCCCAAGGTAAGGCACTTCAGAATGCTTCCATGCCAATCTGGCCTTCAGCTTCCTCCAAGAATAGAAAAACAATTCAAATCACAGATGTTCTCCAATGGAAAAGATTATTAGATCTGCTATCATGACCCACTGGCCAACATCATTCTACCCCCATAATTACAAATCCTGCAGCCCTGAAGTTTTTAATTGCGTTGGTACTACAGAGACACAATTTCATATGCCACAAGGAGTTGTAAGGAGGGCGGAATCCCTCCAAAACAGTTTTGTGCAAAGTTATCTGCTGTCTAAGCTTTCCCAGCCCATTAATATTTCACTTTCATATAGCCCTGGACTGGTTTTGGAACATGCTTCCTTTTTATCCCCTTTTTATATATAAGCAAGAGAAAGTGTTTGAAGTAAGTGCTGGTAAAAAAAACCTCCCCTAGTCTGTCTCTCTTCCCACCCCCTCATTCCCCCTCCCCACACACACTTGCTTTCTCCACCTCAGTCTCTTGAGGATTTTAACACTTCAAGTACAACATATACCAGGAAAAAGGGAGGGGGGAACAGAGACGAATGTGTCTAGCTTTGAATCGCCTCTTAAAAGAGAGACGGCTTTTTTCAATTGTTTTGTAGTCACATTCAGCTGTGAAAATGACGAAAAAGGAAATCGGCGAAAATAAGCGCGATTACTACATGCTGTCAGGCTGAAAGGGGAGCGTAGCAAATACAGCAGAGCCTCAAATTTACAAAACACTTTGTGAATGGAAGCAGTTTGTAAGCCTCCTGCCCTGGCAGTTCCAAAATCCCCTACCCTATTACCTTGCATCTCCACATCCTCCCGTTTGGAATGTCACCCGGGCATTGCCAGTGCTCGCTTTCCTCATCTACCTAGAACCCCTCCTCCCCAGTTTGGGGGGGGGGGCTTTCCTAGCTCTCTATGAAGATGGGAAGCAGTGCCAGATTATCAAATAGGCTGAGCAGGCACCGGCCTATGGGCCCCACACTTTTCAGGAGCCCCATGAAAAGGGACCAAAATTTGATCATGAAAGAAAATTACAATCAAGCTTTCTTAGTTCAATTACACTAGAGAACATGCACAAGCCCCCACCCCCCCCATTTCAGCTGCCTAGCGGCCTCCCACAGGGTTTAATCTGGCACTGTTTGGAAGCTGCCTTATACTTAATCAGACTATGGGTCCATTAAGCTCAGTACTGACTGGAAGCAGCTCTCCAGAATTTCCATCAATGACCTTTGCTAGCCTTACCTGGAGATACTGGGGATTGAACCTGGGACCTTTGGCAGGCAAAGCAGTGAGCTACAGGCCCGTCCTTTCTCTGCTTCATCTCATTAAGGGCACTAAAAGCTACCTTATACCTGAGCAGGCCATTTGTCCATCTGGGTCAGTACTGTCACTTGGAAGTAGCTCATCAGGGTCTCAGACAGAGGTCTTTCCTGCCACCTGGTACATGATCTTTAAAAGCAGGCAAACCTGGAGATTCAGGAGATTGAATCTGAAACCTTCTGCATTCAGAGCATGTTCTCTATACCACAGAGCAACGGTCCCTCCCCCTCCATTTTATCCAATATGCTTTCTGACCTCCTGAAAAACACCCCCACACCGCCTGATTCACAAAGGGGCTGATGTGGCAACAGTTACTGCATACTGAGCAGGGTGAGCAATACTGCGACGGAGAAATTTGATAGATTAGTCATTTTGAATCTCCAGGCTTCATATATCTCCGAGGTTCCAGCAGAGCGAAATCCGTTCCACAAGAATGTTCAGTGGAACTCTGCTCCACCATGGGAAAAGAAAACCGATCCTCTCCACTACTTGGCAAGATGTCTCTCCTTAATGGTGTTGGGAAACTACAGTCGCCAAAGAGCACCACCCTCGTGGCTCGTGTTAAGATGATGCATTACGAGACACCACTAAGTCTCTCTTCCCCCTTGAAACTGCACGTGCAATTACCCTGCCTGCTGCAATGTCTAGCTGCTCCCATACTCCATGGGAAATGGCGCAGGTAGAGCATCATAGTTCAGAGTACGAAAAGGAACCATCCAGGAACAAGTGCGTCATCACCCGTCGACACCGTCTCCCCATTCAAATATTATTCCAGGAACTCACATCTCTGTAGCAACCCATCAGCCTGAATTTGCTTCATGTTATGTTGAATGAAATAGAATGAAAAACTGGAACTGGGCAGTGAGGAGTTTTATTTGACACACCACACTGGGTCGAGACTCAGCCCCAAGTGACACCTGGGCAAAACAGGTGTGAGCTCCACAGACAAAGCACACACACACTTTCATGCTGCCTTCTGCAGTGGGAGCTGCCCTACTTCCTTGGGGTCACAATGCCCTTCTGGTGACAAAGTCTCCACTGACCATTCTTCCTGGTGCCACATCTAGCTGGCCACCCACCACAAATCATGACCGGTTCTGCCTCTTCCACCACCGTCCCCATGCCCACCGCAATATGACACATGTACCCCAAGCATGTCTTATTGCATGGGCAGTGGACTGTTCTCTGGCAAATAGCTCGATAGCTGTGATGAGTGTGGCTGGCGCAGCGATGGCAGGGGCAAGAGGTGACAGTGTCTAGTGGGGGCGGGGAAGGTGCCATGTGGCAACGCTGGAGAATCCACATGGCTCTCCCAGCTGCCAATCTCTCTCCCTCTCTCTATATGTATGCATGTATGTTACTGCTGCACAGCCGCTGCGGAAAGGAAGGAACCCTCTCCCCAGAAAACAGGCGTCTTCTTCCCCTGCATAAGTCCACGATGAAGCCTTGGAGCCTTCCACGCGCGCAAACCCTCCTCGCCCCTTCCCCAAAACTGCACCGCCACAAAGCGCCCTGCCCTCGCCTTAATCCCAGCCGCCGCTGCGGCCACTGCCGGCTTGCAGGAGAGCCCAGCTCGGTCCAATCCCAGCGAACACGCCTCGCGCGCACAGGAAGAAGGCAATGCGGCTCACGGCGAGCCCTTCCTCGTAGCCGCGGCTGCCCTGCGTGCAATAAACATACCGGCTTCTAGCTCTCGCCTTCTCCTCCTCCAGCTCCTTTCCTCCCAATCAGCTGCCGCTACCGCCTGCCCAGCCCCGTATCTACCTGCAGGACTCGAAGCGAGCTTTTAAAAAAACAAACAGAAAAGCCACAGTACACAAACCAAGCCTTTGCACCACTTTCCAGCCCTCGATCCCGTGTGCACTTGTTCCCCCAGTTCCGCGATCCGCCCACCCAAGGCAAAATCGCGACCACCACATCGCAAGGACGGGAAGCTTCCTCCCAAAATAACGCACCCTCCTTGGTTGTGTGGGCAAGCCTGGTAGACCCAGAGGAGCTCAGTCTCCCTCCTCCTCCCTTCCTAAAATCCTGACCTTCCATCTCCCAGCCGCCCCCTTCCCCGCCGCCCTAAGCGAAGGTGCCTTCCCTGCTTCCCAAACCGAGCGGCGCCACGAGTCAGGGGCGCATGGAGGTTATTTACTACCTGGTTGGGCAGCTGGTGGTTGTCTTGGGGGCGCTCTTGCCACGGAGTGCTGGGGAGGGGGGCGCGAAGTCTCGTCCTGGCCGCCCCGCTCCTTACCACCAAAGTGGTGGCTGGTGTGGTCCTTTTAATTTTCCCATATGCGCCCACGGAGAAGAGAGGTGGGGGGAAGCCAAAAGAAAAAACGCACGCCCCAGCCTTGGTCCAAGGCTAGCAGCAACAGCAGCAATTAATCCAGCAAGAGGCAGCCAGAGCAGCGCAAAAGCTCTGCAGCAGAAGAAACCAACGGAGCTTCCCATGCACTCATGTTGTTGCTGTTGAGAGTGCAGAAGAGGATACGCAGCAGCAGCAGCAGCAGGCGGATTGGCAGCCGGCGCTGGTTGTGGCAAGGAAAGACGGGGAGAGGAGAAGGCGGCGGGGAGGGACGAAAGGGGAGGCGCTTGCGGTGCGTGGTGTGTGTCTGGAGAGAGAGTGTGGGGCTGTGCGCGCCGCGTTGCATGCGGGGTTGCGCGGTGCCACCTCCTCGCTGGGAGTGCATTGCGGAGCCGGCTTGGGAGGGGAGAGCAGCCGCCAGCGCAGGATCAGCCTCTTAAGAAGGGGATTGACAGGAAGGATTTAAGAAAGCCTCACCTTTCTGAGCTCTGAGTCAGCAGAGAGTGGAACAGGTTCATTTTTATTATTATTTTTTGCTCGCTTCTTCCTGCTTCCAGGCCAGCCTCCTCCTTCCCTTTTCTTGAAGCCACAGCAGAAGCTTCAACAGCTGCAGAAGAAACCAAGACCAGCAAATCAGTGTAACCCGTGTGTGTGTGTGTGTGTGTGTGTGTGTGTTTGCGTGTTTGTTTTTTTCTCATGTCTGCCTTGGTTTGCATTTTCCTTTTACCGTGCTAAAATCAGGAGCTTTGCAAATCCTTAAAAGAGAAGCGGGAGGGGTTAACACTTTTTGGGCAGCTTCACTTGAGGAGTGCACTCTGAAATATACTTAATGCAGATTAGTTGCTCCTTCATAGGCTTGCTCCAGTCAGGGTAGTTATAAAAAGGGTTTAGGTGTGTTTGTGTGTTTCTGGAATACTCTTAATAATCCACATTATAGATTGCGAGTTGAGGACTAGGCAGGGGTTAAGTGAGCTGTTCCAGAATAAAAGATGGTCATTTTGTGTGTGGCCGGGGAAACCTGAGGATGCTGGCTATTCCAGGTTGGTTCTGATCCAGTAAACCTGAAAGGTGCTGGTTGTTGCAAATTAGCTCTGGCATAAAATGGTATGACCTTCTTGTGTCCTTGCCATTTCATAGTCAAGGTCACCTGGAAGGAGCTGAGGCTCAGACAATTGGGTTGCAATACCCAGAGCTAGCCTTACTCTGCAAGAAGCCTCACTGAACTCCTTGGGTTGACAGATATTTACAGGATTGTACTGCTGGTTTATGCAGCGAGTGGCCATTCTCTCCGGCATTGATCTGTTGTGACCATGAAGCCCAATGCAGCAACCACAGCAGTTGTTTGGGATCAACTGAGCGAAAAGCTATATTCTTCCCCCCTACCCCACCCTGTTCCATATTTTGCATCAAAATTGGGGAGTAAAGGGTAATGGAGTTTTTGGAATCAATTCATCCGGACTGTATACACACCATACATTTAAAGCACACACATACTCTCAAACAATATTGGGAGCTTAGGTTTACCCATCAGAGCTACAGTTCCCAGCACCTTTAAACTACAGTTCCCAGGATTCTTTGGCAGGGTGGTTAAATGTGCTTATGGTGTGGAAACAGAGTGAAAAGCTGTGGTCTTTTTACCCTTCCATATTTTGCATGGGCAAAAAGTATCAAAATTTGCAGGCGGGTTGAATGCGCCAGATTTCCCACTCCTCCTCTCCAAAACCATTGAATGAAACAGGTGTGTGTGTGTGTGTCTGTGTGTGTCTGTGTGTTTTGCAGGCCGTGCAAGGGGAAGAGAAAATTTCTAGACAACAGCCTCTGTATGACCTTTGGATGTTTACTATCCTTGTCTTCTCTCTCTCTTGGGGTTTTATATGCATGTGTACATAAGTGAGGGAGGTGAGGTGGTTAAAGGGTTTGCTGTGGTGGTGTTTTTTTTTTTTTAAAAAAAAGCCTCCTTAACCAGGAAGCAGCTACAAGAAAAGCTAATCAAACGCCAGCTGAGGAAAAGTGCACTAGTTCAGCGCATTCAATAATTATCACCGCATAGTCTCCCGGCATGAATGTATTGGTATATGTTGCTACCAATATTGCTCCTTATTCCAAAGCAGGCATGGGCAATTTCTGCATTTCACAGGCCAGACTAAATATGATGTGAGGGATCCATGGTCAGTTCTCCAGATATATTTTCCTTTCCCTAAAAACAATCTAGGAGGAAGGGGAGAATGGGGTCAGGAGGAATAGGGTTGAGGTTGGCAGACCAGTTAATCCTTTCCCCACACATTTCCCTGTCCGTTCCCCCCCCCCCCAATATTATTAACCATGAAGAGAATTTTTTTGAGAATTTCTTTTTCTCACCCACCTCCCCTCAGAAAATGAAAGCCATAAAAAGCTGCTTAAAAAAAAATCCCCCAAGTATTCCTCACCATCTTTTTTGTGTGTATGTGATGGCCACCATATTTCCCTCACAGTGCCTTGGAAGGACTCCAGGTCGAGGACATTGTGGAGGATTCAAAATGGCGGCCATTTTGCTTCTGTTGTCATTGGCAGCCGCAAAAAAACAACGTTAGGTTAAAAGGATAAAAAGTTTGCTACTCCCACTGCTAATGGTGAGCCCACAGACACACACACACACACACACACCAGCAATAAATGGTTGAAGAATTTCTCCTTACTCTGGTAAAATCACCCACCCAACTTCTTTGCCCACTAATAGGGCAGAGAATTTCAAGAGGCCATTAAGAGCACAGTTCTAACAGGTACTTACTTGATTTTACCTCAAGCCTATTAGCAGCTTGAGAAGACTGATTGCAGTCCGTGTTCCTAGTTTCCTGTGTATTAGCTCAACTCAAGAGGACTTGCTTTTGAGTAGACATGTAGAGGATTGGGCTCTTTAAAGTCAGGGAATTAGCCCAGACAGAGAAAAGAAATGGCTTTAAAAAAACCCCAAAAACCCTTCCCTCAGCATCACCCCCTAAGCCAAAATACGCTTCCTCCAGTAGCTGCTGTTCACCTCTGGGAGGAATGCAGGCAACTGTATTGTTCTTGATATTTCCTAACCTCCAACAAGGCTATTTATCTATAACATTTGTATATCGCCTTTTCCTCCGGGGTCCTGTACATGGTTCTCCACCCCTCCCTGTTTTATCCCCACAGCAACTCTGCGAGGTAGGTTACCCTGAGAGGTTGGCCCAGGGTCATCTGGTAAGCTTCACGGCTGAGTGGGGATTTATAACCTGCCCCCCCCCCCAGGGCCTCATCCTGCACTCTCAACTTTTCTACCACATTGGTTATCAGAGGGAGAAAAAAGCCACAGAAACAGTGTGGGTGTGAATGTGTGTTTAAAAATAATAATTTATTTTTTTAAAAAAAGAAACCTCCCCTCTACCCCCTGACTTGGCCACCATCACAGGCCATTTTGAGCAAAAGAAGTTACATGTAATTTGACCCCCATCCCCAGGAGCCATTCTGTTCTCCAGAGATTGGTCCGGGGGCCACCAGTGTACTTTCCAGCTCACTCCAATCATTTCACAGGCGCTCAGAACATATAATAAAATGGGTGCTGCTTAACAGTACAGTCATACCTCATGTTACGTTTGCTTCGTGTTACGTTTTTTCAGGTTGCGTCCCGCAGTGACCCAGAAGTACCAGAAAACGTTACTTCCGGGTTTCACTGCAGTAGCACTAAATTGCACTTCGCGCATGCGCACAAACACCAAATCACACTGCGCACCTGCGCAGATACGGCGCTTCAGGTTGCGGGCTTTTCATGTTGCGAACGGGCCTCCAGAACGGATCCTGTTCGCAACCAGAGGTACCACTGTAAAAGTTTCACAACGATGAAACATGTGCACCCAGGTATGGCCAAGGTAATAGTTTTTGGGTTTTTTTGCAGGGGTGGGGCGTTCATGTAAAGATATTAAATTTGACAAATCTTCCTTTCAACCCTTGAACAGTTTTCTTTTCCTTGTTGGCATCTGTCTCGAGAGACAATGGAGTACGCCTCTAGGGATGCAGTCAAACTGCTGCATTAGCAGCATCGCAGTGACCTCCCTGGCACAAGCCTGGGCAGTATTTATGGAGATCCTGGGCTGCCTAGACGACGAGACCTCCATCTCAGCCTCACTGATGTGGTCCAAAAGAAAGCACAGCAATACATTTGGCACCAGCTTGCCTGCTGGAAGGAGGCACACAAGGTGCCACCCAAATGTCTTGTTGTGTAGGGTTTACTCCTTAGCCTTTACTTCTCCTGAAGATATCTGGCAAGGCAGTGGAGGTTTAGGATCAGAGTTTTCCTTCTCCTAGAGGGGCTACCTTTCCAGGTTGATGAGCCCCATCTGCCCCTCACTTCCCTCTACAGCATGTGTAGTAATCGCCTTCATGACCATTGGACCCACTATTGGTCTCATCCTCTCAATCCACATGCAATTTGGGGAAGTCCCTAACTCACTGAGGGTTTGAGGCACATTGGCTACCCTCACCTGGTTTAGCTGGCCAGTTAAAGCAGGCATAGGCAAACTCAGCTCTCCAGATGTTTTGAGACTACAGTTCCCATCATCCCTGACCAGTGGTCCTGTTAGCTAGGGGTGGTGGGAGTTGTAGTCTCAAAACATCTGGAGGGCCGAGTTTGCCTATGCCTGAGTTAAAGCCATTCCCAGCGTGTGGCCTCTGTCACATGTTGACAGTTTCCAGGAGCCACAGATGGAGGCTGAATTCAGGGTGGGGACCAAAGGTACACAAATTACCCCAGAAGGAGCACAATGTGTCCCCCAACAGAAGTACTATCCACCCCTCAACACACCATATACCCTTCTGAGCTAACAAAATTTGTTATAGCTACCCTCAATCTAGAGAAGATCATTTTCTTCTTCAGCTGGCCATCCATCCCTGTTTTGAAAGCATTGCCCCACATTCCACAGCATCAGCGACCAACATACCAGAATTGGAAATGAATTTTTCTTCATAGAACCACAGCAACTTCCTTTCATTATGGAAATTTGGCCGGGCATTTATGGATAGAGAAGAAAGAAGATACGAGTATATCATAGTCATTAAAAAGAACAAGATTTCCCACTGAAAATCCAAACCAAGCTGAAATATGTGAAACTACACGTTCTTCCCCAGTTACCACATCTCTTCCCCATCTCTCGTCCCCATTGGAATTCAGATTGTAAGCTCTTTGTGGCAGGGCCCTAAATATTTTTGGTGTTTGTTGTTCTGTAAAGTTCCACAGCACTGACCCTGATCTAGCCAAAGCTAGTCATACCTATATTCTGCCGACATGAATGGAATTGAACCCAACTTTGATTAGGTCGTAATGTTGGCCAACATTAGAGGGACGTTGTAAG